TCCCTCTCTCTCTCTCTCTCTCTCTCTCTCTCTCTCTCTCTCTCGGGGGGTGCATAGCAACATTTGTAGATGCAACTGATGAAGATTGTCCTGGATTTTCCGACCCTGTGTGTGGTTCATCACCAGGTCTACCCAAGCCAATGAGCCCACTGTAGTGAGCCCTTCGAGCAAAGTGGGAAGCCACACATCTGTGGCAAATGGAAAGCCTGGTTCAGTGCCTAGACGGATGTCGAGAGGAGTTCCAACTCCACAGCAGGAGCCTACCTTGAACGGGGAGGAGTCCAAAGTCCCAGCTGATATTCTTGCTGCAGTGGGATCAGATGAACCGGACAGTGATGAGAGTGATGATATGGACCTTGTTAGACCAGACACTGTTGAAGGCTCTGTGGGCGCAGTGACGGGCTCCGGAAAACGGAGTGGTGGCGAGGATAAATTCACAGCAAAGGGAGGTCGAGCTGGACGGGGCAGGGGAGGGAAGGGAGGTAGAGGAAGAGGAGGGAGAGGTGGAAGGGGAGGAGGGGGTGTCAATGAGCGTGGTGGAGGCACAAGACGCACAGGCGCTGACAGGCCAAACACTAGACAAGAGAAGAGAAAAGGCAACAGCAGGGATGCTGCAAGGGCAGAAGAAGGTAGTGAAGATTCATCGTCATCCAGTGATGATGATGATTTTGAGAACGAAGACGAGCCACTGGTACGTTTCCTCTCCTTTCTTCCTCTTGTCTCTTCTCTAGCACTCGGCATAATAGCAAGCTGGACTTCCTGCTTTCTTGTCATCCATTTCTGGTTTGTCATTTTATATTTTGTTCGCTTTCGTCCTGTTAGGATGAGTAACACACTTCACACAACGTGGAGTTCTTAAGTGTCTATCCGTTGTTGTCAACTCCACAGAGCATTGGACGTTCTCTCCTCCTCAGGACGTCACAGCACAGCAGATGGTAGTTTTTACCTCATGTGTGGTGGGCTCGCCAGAGCAGATGCTTTGTGTCTGATGACTCTGATCTATCGCCAGATAAGAGAATTGGCTAATTTGAAATTTCAGAGCATATTCATGGAGTATTCAGTTAGATAGAGCTCTATCTCGAGTCTTGACAAATAGCTTTATATTTATATATTGCATGCGTTTTAACTTTTAACTTTTAACTCGTATTTGGCTGTGGTAGGCTTTTTTTTAACCTGTTTTTTTTTTTTTTCCCCTTTGCATGTCATCCTTGCCCAGGGGCGATGCTGATATTCTCTCTATCGTTCAAATTTCAACTGATATCCCGAAGAATTTTCTAATCGCGAACTCGTGATTTGTTTGGAATCTTTGGATGCATCTCTTAACTGATCTAGACGTATGCCATCTAGGCTAGCTGGTAACTAGAACCCTCCCAACCCTGTACTGCTGTTGGAGAAAGACAAGGCACACAGCTTGTTTTAGGTCAGACACATGATCGGCGGGTGCGAGGAGTCTCAGCTATGGCAGGGCACATACCTTGTTTTAGGTCGAACACATGAGCAACATGTGGGATGGGTTTCGGCTATGGCGATCACCCTTGCAAAGGACCACTTGAAGTGGTTCCGTCTCTCTAGGAAACCAACAAACGAGGCGTGGCAAACCTTAGCATGGAGCTGTCCTGTTGCTACCTGCAGTGGCGCTTATTCGATTGCAGGTCTATCCGATGAGGCAGTCGGTTGGGTTGGTTTAGTAGCAATCGGACATGAGCAACATGTGGGATGGGTTTCAGCTACGACAATTACCCTGGCAAAGGACCATTTTAACTGGTTCCGTCTCGCTAGGAAACCAACTAACGAGGCGTGGGAAACCTTAGCTTGGAGCTGACATGTTGCTACCTGCAGTGGTGTTAAGTAGAATGCAGGTCTATCTGATGAGGCTGTGGGTTGGTTTAGTAGCAATCAGAGAAGTGACCCTAGGCTGAGGCACTGTTGAAACGGTGTCCTCCGAAAAGGCAAGGCCAAGTGGTGCCGCCATCGGATTGCAGGTCATGCATGGTGGCAAGAGCCTGCACAGAAGTGAGGAGTCGAGCTCTTCAGGGTTGTGCTTGCAATGTTCCGATCGGCCCCTACCAGGTTCAGAAACAGCTTCTCAGAAAATAGCTGCAGGCTTAGCAATGCGGTAGTGGAAATAGTTGTCGTTTAAGCCACCAGTACCTCGGAGCCTCTTTTTCTCGGGCCCGGCACGTAAAATTCGGAACCATCGCGGGCAAGGGCCTACAGGGCATCGCCAACGTTTTCGGTCTGGTAGGCCGAACTTTTCTGCACCACTGGGTTACCCAGGGGTTGCATGCAGGGTAGCTGGACATTGTAGCGGGGTTGGTTCAGTGTCGCCCCTCATCATGCGGTTGCTGATCCAATGGGATCAGCGGTGGGTTTAATGCCCCGGCGGCTTGTGTCCTCAACTGGAAAACTGCAGTGGATGGACGAACCCCTAAAAACCCTTGGTCATCGAGGAGGCAGTGACCACAGGGCGAGTTCGGGCAAGATGGAGAGCATGACACCGTTGTTAAACCACCACTGCACCTCAGCCCTCCTGATGTTCAAAAGAGCAGCAGTAAAAAATTCAAATCGTCTCTCGTCATTCCTCATGAGCTGTGATAGATTTTAGTGACCCAGTTAATTAATCAGTCAGTAATAACGACACAATTAGGAATTGAGCCTTTTGAGGCGTCGAGCATAGTTTTGATCGAACTTCCTCTGGTTGATGGCGTGGTTGTCTGGATCACACAGCTGGGCGTCATCTGGACGATCTGCCCAGGCAGTCAGCAGTCCAACTGGGTGACTTGTGGGGTTGAAGAAAGAGGGGACTGGGGCAATCCCTCTTCAGATGCATTGAAGGTGGGGATGCGCATCTTATTGGCCCACCAAGATCAGCCCGAATCAGGGACTTTTTTTTTGTTTTCCAGTCTTTTGGGCTGTGGGAGAAGAGGAACTGGAGGAGCGGGGTGGGGGGGATGGGGGCTGGTGTAAATGGGTGTAAAGTGGTGTACCTTTATCTTGTTTGTTTTTAAAGGGGTGCTCCTTTATCTTTTTTGTTCTTTTAACTTTTTTTTTAATTTCTTGCACCTTTGGTTGCTTCTGCGTCCGTTCATGTTGATCAGCCCGAATGCGGGGTCTTTTTCTTCTCCAGTGTTTGGGCTGGGGGGGGGGAAGGGACCATGGGCGGACGGAGACTGTCCTGGCCGGCTGTAAATGGGGGGTTTAAATGGGCGTTCCTTCAACTTTTTGTTTCTATTTTCTGACATTCTTGGTTTAGTAAGGATTTCCAAAGCGACCCTCAGTTGGAAGGTTGGAAGTTGTTCGTAGTACATTTCTGCACAACATATGCTTTCTTCCCTTGGTTTCCATTTTGTGCTGGGGCTGTTTGGGGTCCAGGTCCCGGTGGTAAGCCTGGGTGTTACATCTTCGAGTCACACGGGTCTTACCGGACCCGACTTAGGGCCGGAGGGACACACCAGGGCCTAAAGGCCGACCTTTGAGGGTCACAGGCCCTAAAGGCCTGATTTTGCACTCAGCCCAGCGGGTAGGCCCAAACGACACTTTGTTTGGGCCTGGCGGCGCTCTTGAGGCTGCCACCCGCCGATGGAGGCTGAACCGTCCATCTGGACGGTCCAGGGTCTGGCCTGGCCTCACAGCATTGAGGCCAGACCATGGCCTACCGGTATAAGTACCGGTACCTGCCTCAGTAGAGGCATCGACCTACCGGCACTATACCGGTACGGTATGGTCAGCGCCAGAGCGCTGTTTTGATGCGCTA